AAAGCTTTCATATCCATATAACTTTGATCGCTACTAAAATACTGCTACTCCAATATTACGCAATAGATGAATTCTGAGCACTTAGAATCAAGATTGATGATTTAGTTGCTAGGAAAGTAAATTTCCATCAAAGTTTTTTTTTTCCAGAGAATGCAACATAAATATAATTTAACGCATGTTCACATGGAGAACTCTTACAAGTCCAATATTGAATATCACACAAAGAACAAACTTAAATATAAAGAATAAGATATGAAGTATACCTGAATTTTTATGAATTTCACATCATCTCATTTACTTGTAACAGTTCAAATATTAAGAATTGGATACCCTCTCTAATTAGGCTAGGGGTTTCGAAGTAAGCTGTTCATAGTGGCAGATTCCATAAATTAATTGCTAGACCAACTTTGCTTCAACATATGGACCGAGAAAAAATTGGCTAACTCTGGTAGGAAGAAGATAAAACCTGATTAAAGTAAATAATCTCAGTGGGTTAGAGCATCGTGCTGATAACGTGTTATAAAATAAAAGTAATATAGCAAGAACTATGTAATTAACTAGAACTAATAATAGAAGAGAATGACAACATTAGAAGAGAGGATTTATTTCTTCGTTTCAGAGTATCTAATAGGTTCATCAGTGAACCTATTTATAGAAATATTTCATTGTTACAAAACCAATCCAAAACCTGTTATGAATACATAACCAACCTAAAACCTGTTATGGATACATAACCAATCTAAAACCTGTTACGGATACATAACCAATACAAAACCTGTTATGGATATATAACCAATCTAAAACCTGTTATGGATACATAACCAATCCAAAACCTGTTATGGAAGACATCCATCGTTGCAAGTGGATGGATCCATTTGCAGGATTTATAACAGGAATGATGAAAAAGCGTAGTGATAACGAAACATGGTGTTCAAAAAATAAAAAGGTATAAAACAAAATTTTGCCACATTGATACGACGTCGTTGTTTGTGATTCTTTTGTAGTTTCAAGGAAAAAAGGCAAGCCAAAAAATATCATTGGTGTGACTTGTGTGAGAGAGAGAAAAAAACAAATGATCAACCCAACAGTAATGAAAAATGGAACAATACTGACAAGAGATCAACAGATGAAGCTAATTGAACCAATCTCCACAGAGGAGATCTGTAATGCAATGAAGAACATTGATGACAACAAAGCCCCAAGATGTGATGGTTTCAATACATGTTTCTTTAAGAAAGCATGGTCAATAGTAGGAGAAGAAGTAATTCAAGCAACAAAATAGTTTTTTGACACTGGAGAGATTTATAAGCCAATAAATTATACTGCTGTGACATTGATCCCAAAAGTGAAGAGTCCAACCTCAATCAAAGAGTATAGACCTATATCTTGTTGTACTGTGCTGTACAAGGTGATATCAAAGGTAATTACTACAAGGTTGCAGATGGTTATGGGCAGCCTCATTGATGTAAGTCAGGCTGCATTTATACCAGGAAGAGTTATATCTGACAACATTATTCTAAGTCATGAGCTGGTAAAAGGCTATGGAAGGAAGGGCATTACACCAAGATGTATGATCAAACTAGATATGCAAAAGGCTTATGACTCATTGGAGCGGAGTTTCTTAAAGCATGTCTTGATAACAATGAACTTCCCTTCAAGATTTGTGCAGTGGATCATGATATGCCTTTCTATTGTTTCATATTCTATACAGATAAATGGAAGGCCTGCTTGTCCTTTCCCAGCAAGAAAAGGCCTAAGACAAGGAGATCCACTATCTCCATTCTTGTTTGTCTTAGCTATGGATTACCTAAGCAGGCTACTCAGAACTTTGAAGAACCAGCCTGACTTTAACTACCATCCAAGATGTGAGAAGCTGCAAATTATTCAGCTGGGCTTTGCTGATGATCTGTTGTTACTCTGCAGGGGTGATGAAGTATCTATCCATATGCTATATAATTGTTTCATGGAGTTCTCAAAGGTGTCAAGGCTGCAGGCAAATAAGAACAAGAGTTCTATATACTTTGGGGTTGTGAGCATAACTGTACAACAGAATGTTATGGAGAAATTGGGGTTTCCTAAAGGAGAGATGCCTATAAGATATTTGGGAGTTCCATTAAGCACAAAAAGGATGTCAGTCATACAATTCCAACCACTGCTAGACAGGATGCTTGGCAGAATAACATCATGGACTACAAAATTCCTTTCACATGCTGGCCGGATCCAGTTAATTAAGAGTGTGTTGCTATCAGTCCAAATATATTGGTCCCAATTATATGTCTTCCCAAAGAAGGTGATCCATCTCATAGAAGCTATATGCAGGAAGTTCTTATGGACCGGGGGAATTGATGTGACAAAAAAAGCTCTAGTGGCATGAAAAAAATTGTGTCAACCAAAAGCTAATGGGTTTTGGAATTTGCTGGACATTGAATTGTGGAATAAAGCAGTCATATGTAAACTGCTATGGAACTTAGCTCAAAAGAAGGACAAGCTATGGATACAGTGGATTCACACTTATTATGGGAAGGCAGAGCTATAAAATATATTGAAGCAAATCAAGCTTCATGGTTAGTGAAGAAGATTCTGAGGGCTAAACAGTACAGGATAGAGGCTGGGATCAACTTGGAAGAGACACTCGAGAACAAGCACATAACCATCAGCAATATATACAAGATGTTAAGGAATGATCACCAGAAGGTGCCTTGGAGGAAGCTAATATGTAATAATGGAGGAATGCCAAAGTGGATTTTTATATTATACATGACTATACTGGGCAAGCTGAATACCAGAGATAGACTAGCAAGATGTGGAGTAACAAATGAGCTACTATGTCCTATGTGTAATGTAGAAGAGGAAAGTGTGGAACACCTATTCTTCAAGTGTTCATTTACAGCAGTGATCACGCCCAACTATGCCTTATAAAAAGGACTCTGCGGACGTTGCAAATATAACCCGAGTATTACGCCCAGGGTCGAATCCACAGAGAGTTAACCTATCAACCGCTATCTTCAGACCCACTAAGTCTTCAGAACCAGCTTCCCAAATTTTTGAATCTCAGTTGAGTGTTCTTTAATAACTAGCTTGCAAATAATTAAATGGCTGTAACAAATTAAAAATTAAAGGTTGTAAACAATTATGAGAAAAAGCTAAGGCAATGATTTCCCCTATTGATGGAATCCCTTCTGTTTATGCTCAGACAAATTTACCCACACATCTCTATCAATCATGAACGCTAATCTTACCGTAAACCTCTCCCGAGTAATCACAGTAATTTACTATTGCACTCTCCCGAGATACACTAGCTTACTTTATTTAGCACAATTCAATTTAGATTGCACCCAAGGCTTCGTTATTCCTAATCCCGCCTTTAAACCCGCAATTATAGATTCCTCTAATAATCTAGGAGTGGTGTTGTTCAACAATACCCTAAATATGCACTCTTTTCCAAGTTATGCACACTAAATAGGCACAGCTAATTGAGGATCCCGTCAATTAACTACAACGAACACGAAGTTGAACAAATAAAGATTAAACGAGCAATTTGTATTCACATAAACAAGAAGTTCATCACCCAATAGGTTCCATCAACGCCTTAGACAAGGAATTTAGCAACTCATGACTATGGGAACATAAACTAAGCTTGAATTCATCATAAAATCAAAAGAAAAGAAGAAAGATGTTTAGAGTACTTTCTCACAATTATTTTTCTTGCTAAGAAACCTAAAAAAATCAATACATGCCTCTCTTGGGCGAAGTCTAATGTTTTAAATAGGGTTTAGGTCTAAAAATCCCGTAATTGACACTTTGGTCCCAGAAGTTTCTGCGCCTGCCGCGGTTCTGCCGCGGTCGCGGTAGAACCGCGGCCAAACACCCTCGCGGATTCTCTGAACTTCTGCAGCTGCTTCCCACCGCGGTTCTGCCGCGATCGCGGTGGAACCGCGGTGGATCCAGTTCTCTGAATCTTCGGCCTGTTTTTGCATGGGTCACTTAGGAAATTTCACAGTTGGCCTCTTTTTCATCACTTTTGACTCCAAAACTGCTCCTTAGCCGTCTTTATACATATATCACCTACAAATCATGAAAAGCACTAATAAGAGCATTTTGTCATCACTTTTAGCATTAAAATTACACAAGAAGGTGATTATTTAAGGTGTGATTATAGACAAATTCACCTATTATCAAGCAGCAATTTGGAGTAAGATACTGCAGTGGATGGGTGTCAACAGGCAAACGATGGAATGGAGTCAAGAAAAAGAATGGGCATGCAGCAATGCAAAAAGGAGATCAACAAATTCTGAAATATACAGAATAGCACTAGCAAGTTGTGTCTATCACGTGTGGCAGAGAGAAACCACATCTTTCAAGCTAAGCAAAAGCAAGCAGGGATACTGATTAAGCAAACTATACAAATGATATGTGGAAGGGGCTATGCGTTGCCAAGACTAAGGAAAAGGCTTGAAGAGTTGAATTTCTATCCATAAGGGAAGATGAAGTACTGACAATGTAATTTGAATTGTAAACTGATAGACAGTAAGTAAGATAGGAGATTTGTTGAAACTGAGTCTGGGAGGATGTCCAAATTTAATGTTTGTTTGATTTGAGATGTAATTTCGTGCTTTGGTAATAAAATATGATAATTACCAAAAAAAATAAATCTCAAAAGTGATCTTGTTAAATTTAAATTGAATCCGCCTTTAGACTTGCGAGTTTGAAGAATAATAGTATTAATATCTTAATATACACTCAAATATCTTATATAAAAAAATATACAATAAAAGTATAATCAGGCGTCAAAAGGAGAGCTGGAAGCGAATGAAAAGGAGGAATGACGAAAAAGCGTAGTGATAACGAAACATGGTGTTCAAAAAATAAAAATAAAAAGGTAGTATAAAACAAAATTTTGCCACATCGATACGACATCGTTGTTTGTGATTCTTTTGTAGTTTCCAGGAAAAAAGGCAAGCCAAAAATATCATTGGTGTGACTTGTGAGAGAGAGAAAATGGAAGAAGAAACCTGAAAGGTTGCTCACCTGTGCCTTTATTTCTTTGGGTTACAAATACAAACCCCCCTTCTTTAATTTCTTTTACTCTCTCTCACCCATTTTCTCTGTATTGTTTTTACGAAAAAACCGAAAATCAACTCCAAATTCAAAGATTGTTGCCACCCCCTAACACCTCAACAACAACAACAAAAACTTCACCTTTACCATACCAATTTAGTTCATAAAGCTTCACCTCTGATTTTCACATATTGATAAACCAAAAAGAACAAAACACCAAGAGGAACAAAAGAAATTGTAGAATTTTAAAAGGCTTTATTTTTTGTCAATGGATAGTATTTGTTTAACGGGAGGGATTCAAGGTATGGCGGGGCCGATCGCCGTTGCCGGCACCGGAGCTTTAGATGTCCGTGCAACCCAATTTAGTACATCCGCCGTTGGCCGTTCGTCGGCGGCGTCCATGTCGGTTGAAAAGCCATCTTCTTCTCAAAGGAATAAAAATACATCATGGGGTTTTTCATTTAGGTACCCACTTAGATCCTTTTGGTCAGGTGGTAAAGGAAGATACGATGCAATAGCTGTAGACGACGCCGTAATGATGGATGAAAAGGAGGAGAAACTTGAGGAGAAGAAAGATGAGGAGGGGCAAAATGGGAATTGGGTTTTGAAAATTTTGCATGTTAGGTCTATGCGTAGTAAAGAAGAGGATGATGATGTAGGGGACAAGGGCGGCGGTGGTGGTGTTGAAGATGCTGTTCAAGAAAACAGTGAAGGGCAAAATAGTCAATGCGGTGGTGGGGATGAAGAGTGTGATGTGTGTTCTGTTGATGATGATGAAGAAAAGTTCAAATTTGATAGAAATTCTTTTTCTAAGTTGCTAAAAAGAGTGTCCTTAGCTGAAGCTAGATTGTATGCTCAGATGTCTTATTTGGGTAGTTTGGCTTATGCTATACCCCAAATTAAGGTAATTTCTTCTTAACTTTTTTGATTGCTCATTGTTTAATTTGTGAGGCTATTTGGAAAAATGAGGCTTGTGAATGGAGAAATGGGTAGATAACTGATATGTGATTGGATTAATGTAAATTGCATAAATTGATGGAATATGAGTGTGTAGATCTAACTTCTTCGCTTGCTTCTGTGAAAGGGTGTCAGCAAATTACAGCTTTTATTGCCTAATTTTAGTGTTCTGAGGGTACAAAGGTCTCAAAAGGCGCGATCTTTAGCTTTAGAGGTGTTTTTTAATGCATGATTAACGTGATTTGGGTTTTAAGGAATCAAGATTTATCCTTTCTTCTAGCTAAACCAATAAGTCTAGATTTGTAGAAATTTGGAAAAGACAGCCATGTTTTTCAAGAGTCTTTTCATAATACGCTTATACAAGCTTTGACCTTGTTCTATGATTGTGTCAAGTGGACAACTTGATCTATGGTTTATTTCTGTTTCTGTGTTGGAAGCAATGTCATCTGGCAGCCATGTTATGGGAGTTCATGTTTCTGTTTTTGTTGGTGCAGCCAGAAAATTTATTGAGGAATCATGGATTGCGGTTTGTCACTTCTTCATTGGAGAAGAAAGAACAGGCATTGAAAGCTGAGAAAGAGAAGGCAGAAGCTGATGGCCAGGAGAAGAAAGAGAATGAAGTTGTTCAAACTCAGGTAGAAGAAAAGAACACTACAAATTCAGTAGAAGGGGATGGGAAGACCAGCGGAAACAGGATTAGTGCATCTACTGCTTATCATATAGCTGCCTCTGCCGCGTCTTATCTGCACTCTCATACAAAAAGCATTCTTCCGTTTAAATTGTCCAAGTCCAACTCTGCGCCAAATAAAGATTCCTCTGAAACAACCATCGGAAGCGATGACAATGTAGTTGGAAGGAACAGGGAAGTTGCTTCTTTTATGGCGACCAGCGACTCAGTGACATCAGTAGTTGCTGCAAAGGAGGAAGTAAAGCAGGCTGTTGCAGACGACCTGAACTCGAATCATTCTTCACCCTGTGAGTGGTTTGTATGTGATGATGATGAGAGTTTGACAAGATTTTTTGTCATTCAGGTATGCATCACAGCCGATTTTATCTTCACCTTTTCCCCTCTCCGTTTTGTTGCTGAATTTCATCTTTAATTACTCTCAGGGATCAGAGTCATTGGCATCATGGCAAGCAAATCTACTCTTTGAGCCTATTCAATTTGAGGTACTTAGGCACTCAAATAAGTGCTTGTGCAAATTTAAACTATGTTCTGTTTTCTAATCTGACTGTGTTGTCGTGCGAGCATAACGCGCACAAGTACTTTCCTATAAAATCTTGTGACGATGCATTGACAGAGAGTTGTGATTGCATCTTTCTTTTTTAGGGTCTGGATGTGATGGTTCACCGAGGTATTTATGAAGCTGCAAAGGGAATGTACGAACAGATGCTGCCGGAAGTACGTTTCCACCTTAAATCTCATGGTAGTCATGCTAAATTCCGTTTCACTGGGCATTCCCTTGGTGGAAGTTTATCATTGCTCCTCAATCTCATGCTGCACATAAGGGGAGAAGTTCCTCCCTCTTCCTTGCTTCCTGTTATAACTTTTGGTGCCCCGTCAATAATGTGTGGAGGAGACCGCCTCCTTCGCCACCTTGGCTTGCCTCGGAGTCATCTGCAAGCAATCACAATGCATCGGGACATTGTACCCCGAGCCTTCTCTTGCAATTATCCCAATCACGTTGCAGAATTTCTCAAAGCTATCAATGGGAACTTCCGCAATCATCCATGTCTGAATAACCAGGTAGAGAATAATGTTACTCCATTTAAAATAGAGAATGACTTAATGTGTCTAGTCTTTTAAGTTCTATGGTTGCTCATAACTGTGTTTTCTTATAAACAGAAGTTGTTGTTTGCTCCAATGGGGGAGTTCTTAATTCTGCAGCCAGATGACAAGTTCTCTCCAAACCACGACCTGCTACCTTCAGGCTCCGGTCTTTATTTAATGAGCGATCCTGTATCAAGTTCAACAGAGGCAGAAAAACAAATCCGAGCCGCTCAGTCTGTGTTTTTAAACTCACCCCACCCACTTGAAATCCTAAGTGATCGATCAGCCTATGGTTCTGGAGGAACAATACAAAGAGATCATGACATGAACTCATACTTAAAATGTGTAAGAAACGTAATTCGCCATGAGCTAAACAGCATCAGAAAAGCTCGGAGGAAGCAGAGGCGCAGAGTTTGGTGGCCATTGGTTGCACCAAGTGGGGTTAATGCTGGTATTGTTGTTAGAAGGCATGTGGAATCAGGTAATATGGGCCATGGCCAGTTCAACTTTGCTGGCATTTTACATAGTGGGAAAGAGTCGTTGAAGCGGTTCAGTACGCTAGTAGCATCGCAGCACATGCACTTGCTTGTGGTGCTTTTGTTTCCTGCACGCTTGCTTATCGTTGGGACTTTCAGCATGTTGAATTTTCGTTGAATCGCCAGAAGCATTGGACAAGTTAAAGGAGGGTAGATGATTCTTTATTCTTTTGACAACTAAAGTCCCCCGGTATTCTGAAAGAGGGGGATTACCTGAATCAAATATTAGTAAGAAAATATTGGATCTATTTGTTATCAAAACTGTTATAGATGATTATTCCATTTATGGAATGCAAAGATGTATATCCTATTTTTGTTTGATGTAGTAATGATATAGCTCTTCTCTCAAATAGTACCATGTACCAAAAATTGGAACTGTAAAGGTAAGAATCACAATATCATATTGGATCAAAAGCAAATTCAGAATTTAGGATCAATGAGTTCGGATGGCTGTGTTCTATTTGATACACACACTAACTATTGTATTTTATATATACACACGCACACTGACTATTAATTTATTTATTTAATATTGATGTAACAAAAATGAATGCTAAAAGTTGCGATAATGATGGCTTGCCCTGCATTTCCAAAGTTTTGGGATGAAACACTGACTAACTATTGTATTTTATATATACAACCAATTGAAAATTGTTTACATCACAATCACCGGGAAACTAGAACGGCGATTTGTCAAAAAGTATTCTCTGGTCCACAAGAAGTGATTAATTTGCTTTTTTATTTTGATCCAAAATAAGTGTCCATTTATATAATTAAGAAAAAATTCAATTTGTTTTTACAAAATTACTCTTATGTACATGTCTCAAAAAAGTTTTCTTACTCTTCACATTAAATATTTAATTAAGGGTAATTTAGTCATTATAGGCATTTTTATATAGAATTTAATATTTTCTTAATGGGCGTACTTATTATGGACCCGGGAAATATTAAAAAGTAATGATGTAATCGAAAAAGAGTGGTATTGTTATAAAACAATAAAAGTAGAAGAACAATATTGCAGAGAAAGAGAGAGAGAAAGGATTCTTATTGATTTCGAGATGAATTACAATTGAATAGAACCCTCTATTTATAGGGAGAGGTTGACTTAGCCACCAAGTAATAAACCCTAGAATCTCTCTAAATATGGACATTCACCATAAATAGAATTCTATTTATAACACTCCCCCTTGAATGTCTATTCAACAGATAATGTGCCTCGTTAAAACCTTAACTAAAATAAAACCCAGTGGAAAAATATTTCTAGAGAAGGAAAAAGAGTACACATATCTAATAATACGCCTTTTTGTTGCCTCGTTAAAAACCTTGCAAGGAAAACCCGGTGGGACAAAACCGTGTAAGGGAAAAAGAGTACAACGCGTATTAACTCCCCCTCGTGAGAGCATCACTTCACATCCTTAAGCATTTGCATTCCAATCTTGTGCACCATCTTCAAAAGATCTTTGGTAGATATTTGATAAATAAATCAGCCATATTAACTTGAATGAATATATTGCACCTTGAAATCATCATTCTTGATAGAGATGGATTATCTTCATATGATCTTGTTGTAACCGTCAGTTCAATATCTTCACATAGAGGTGAAAACTCTTGGTATCATATTATCATGCCTATAGTTATAGCAAGATACATTTGTGCACAAATTGCACTGAGGAAGTAGTACTTCAAGATCAAGAATTATATATGCTTCAAGCGATTTAAATCCTTCAAGGATTGTCGTATAAGTCATACAATAGACTTTAATTAGATGCATATCAAGTTTTCATGTCATGCTAGACAAATAAGATATCAAAAACTGATTGCACATATCATTGGCTTCATACTTTCAAGTGATTGAACTACATGTTCAAAACTACATGTCTTTCATAGGAAACCAAATTCTACTTGAATTGTTTCTCCAGACTTGAGGTCCTCATGTATATTTAGCGCTATTATAGATGTCGTCGACAAATATTTTATATCAGTTTCAATATTTTTTCATAAAGACATAACATAGAGATCTCTTCATTCATATATTCAGGTACCTGAATATTTCATGAGATTTATGAAGTGTTATGTCATGTGATCTTCTAGATCACTTGCCTCCTTTATTATGATCATTTTGATCATTTGCTCATCTTCTTTATCAAGAAGTTTTATTTGAAACCGATTTGTCTGTATGCTATAAGCGTACCATAGACTTAGTCCTTATAGGACTTAATATGAACATTTGCAATGGGAATATAGTTACTTTCTTTGGTTCAGCAAATGCACTGGCATGGTTTGCAATAAATTGCACATGAATTATCCTTTTTATGAACTTCAAATTCATATTATCTTATTCGAGGATCTATATGAACAAATGATAATTCATTCCACGTAACTTTTTCTCAACTGTTTATCATGTCTCCCCCTCATGTTAGAAAAACTAACTTGTTTTCTCAACTTTGAGAACTCATCTTTGTGCTTTATGGTGTTAATCAAAATATACACCGCACATCAATAATAATAAGATGGAATTATTTGGTTCCTGACTATGAACCACTTGTAAGGGGAGAATATAATATACTTTCGTATATAACCTATATCAAACCGATATAGATAACTTTGTTCTCATAAGCAATTGTTTAGCTATTAAGTAGAGGCACTTAATAAATCATTTTGCTAAACCAACTGTGATGTAAACCATCTTATCAAGATGAACTTCTTGAATAGAAAATCTGGAAATTATGCTTGAAATTAAATTATTGAGCAAGTTACCTCGCAAAATACCATGTTGCGGGTTATTAATAATCGCACATGTAACCATCTCATAGATGCATCTTATGTGGTATACATGGCAGGTGAATGGGCCCATATTCACCTTTGATATTTCTAGCATTCATGGGATTCAATCCCAATTTTAATTGGTATATTAATTAATGAGAACAGGCAACATAATAGAATTCGTAAAGAACTTTCTAGTTCTTTAATATTTACCCATGTGAATTCTCTTTTATTTTTTGCACATCATACTTAAATTGATATGGCTAAACCAATTATGCCAACTGAATAAATTATCAATATTGATAAACTTCAGATTTACGCCATGACGTGTGCAATTATCAATAAACTCCAAGTTTATTATGATATGGGTTTTTATATCAATAAATACCCACTTCATTGTGGTATTCTTTTGTTTATGTAGTACAAATTGAAGAATAAAGCGGGTAGCTTTTCACATATATATTACCCCGCTACAAGTTGTACTAATAGAAGATATTAAATCTTTCCTTTATTTATAGTCTCAATATACTCAACCGCTTTCGCGTATACTTTGGAAACTGAATAAGTTTCTTTGAGACTTACTACAACACAATACCTTATTGGTAATTAATTGTGTTTTTCCAAAATAGTATAATTGGCTCTTGCAGAGTTCTCAATTAATTTTATAGTATCACATATTCATCAACACCCATATGGTGAATATCTCTTTTAAAGAGAAAGTTATACCATTATGGTTATGGTCAAAATTATATGCAAGATCTGTTTCTTGCATTACCGTTGTCTTTTAACAATCACAATGCCAAAATATTTTGGCGTACAATAGGTACGTGACCAATGACCATTCATGCCATAATAATGACATTATTTTCTTATATCATCTCAAACCTCCTTTTAGAGGTGAGTGCGGTATATTCACTACCACTAGCACGTTCATATTCTTTGAAGAATGAATATGTATTCATAAATCAGATGTTGTCACATTCGCATCATGAACGGACCATAATCATCTATATGTGCTTTACAAAATCTCATGTCAAATCGATGACAAATATTTTTCACAGAGTGAAAGATTATTTTGAGAATCCTTATTGTTCTCATTACCACAAATGATGACGATTATAATTTCGTCTATTGCCACGTCCATATCCATTGATACATTCATAGTAATAATTTTGTCTTCTTTCAGACTTATCACATACTGCTATCACATTCTCTTAAGGGAATGAGAATGGAGCAAATTCAATGGGACGGGTTTTCAATTCTTTGCCCACAATCATACATGAATTTGATCATGGCGAGGCATAGAAATTTTACCACTTCAGGTGGTTATAATTTCTTACAAACTCCATTAGGGTTATTACCAAACTTTGTTGTCTTTGCTTGTATTTAAAATCAAAGTATAGAATAAAAGAGAAAAATACGGTAAAATACTTACCTTAAATCCAGAATTTAATCATGAAGGAAGTTCATGGAATAATTGACAATCATTATGCTCAATCCCAAATACTCAATTGGTTAGAGTCTTGTGCTGATAACGTGTTATAAAACAATAAAAGTAGAAGAACAATATTGCAGAGAAAGAGAGAGAGAAAGGATTCTTATTGATTTTGGGATGAATTACAATGGAATAGAACCCTCTATTTATAGGGAGAGGTTGACTTAGCCACCAAGTAATAAACCCTAGAATCTCTCTAAATATGGACATTCACCATAAATAGAATTCTATTTGTAACAGGTATAAATTATTAGGCAGGAGCAGTAAACACGATATTTTAAAGATGAGAAAATATCGAAGGCGCAAACGTATCTTTTCACATCTTAGTCTTAACGTCTCAATCACTAAGCAATAATTTAAAGAAAGAATTACAAGTAAATACACATGACTTCACATCATAACAAAAAATGGCCCATATTTTTAAGTTTTACCCTACCTAGCTCATATTGTAATATTTTGAAAGCATTGGTAAATTCAAAATCTGTGCTCTCATAACAATTGCTTCTAAAAGCTATGGAGTTAAATATGTATTCTCACAACCATTGCTTTCACTCTCTCTTCTTCTCACATCTTCTACATATGCTTCAAGGAGCCGAGTATTTTCTGCTTCTCCCCTTGTGTCACCTGGTTGCAATGTAAGAAAATTGAAAAATAAAAATCCACCATTGAAGGACATTCAAAGCTTTGCTTTCGAAAATATGATTTTTTGGTTATTGTTAGTTGTTTGGATTGGGTGTTGTTCCAATTAATTGCAAATATCAAAAGGAGTTCATGATTTTAATTTGAAGTGATTTGGAGTAGATTTGAGAAAAGACGCAAGGAAGAAGACGAAGTCAGTTTTTTGTATAATTTTGTATAATCTTGTATAATAGTGTATATGAGTGTATAAACACATCTTATACACTATTATACACTTTTATACACCTTTATACAAACGTCTGTAGACGAACTTCTTCCACGATTTTCAGTTGCAATTCTTGTTCAAAACCAGTCAAAATCTTTATTAAATGACTTCAAATTTTATATACAACCTCCTAATACTATTTCTAACAAGTTTAAATAATACCCACTCCAAAATTCTCACGAAATCAAATTTGGAATTTAAACCCACATATTTAAGCTTGTTAAAAATCTAATTTTCACTACCCAAGTGGATTTGGTTTGTTGAACTAATATTGA